AAGAGAATGGAGGGAGGGAGGAGGGAAGGAAGAAAGAAAGAAAAAGAAAAAGAAGGAAAAAAAGGAAAAAAATAAAAGAAAAGGGAGACACTAGCAAAGAGGGGGATCCATTCACATGACGGGTGTTAACCATTAGGTCTTGCTGAGGTTAGAAGCTATGGGTGTGGGATTTGGTGTTCCAACCCAGCGATCGAATGCGGCCATTGGCTGAAGAACAGACCGTGTGATGTCTGAGAAGATCATGGGATACATCCGGGAGGGTCTTCAGCTGCTGGTAGACAGGCCGGACAGCACCTGCTGTTGCAGGCTGCACAATGACCAATGACCAAGTGGACTATGTGAGTGAGAAGACCTTGAAGCTGGCCGCCAATATCTCCCCCCCTCTCCCAGAAACAAACTGGTGTCACTGGGGACCTGCTTCGAAAAAGTCACCAAGACCCCCGAGTTTCGGCTGCACATCACGGCTCTGGATTCTCTCACACCCCATGCCTAATATAAAGTGTGAGTGAAGCCTGGAACTGAGCAGGCCTTCCTGTATGGGAACAGGTTGAAATCTGGACTGGGTCGAATCACTGAGTACCTCTCAATACCAAGGAGTGATGGGACTCCATGGCAGATATCCCTTTGGGTTTTGGGGTGGCAGCAAAGTCTACGCAAGCCTGCGGGAAGGTAGGTCCCATGGAGATTGTGGTATTTCATCAAGCAGACACTGGGGAATATGTGCGACATGAAGAGACACTGATGGGACCAGCAGTTGGCATCATGGCTATGTCGCCAGACTCCCATGTAGTTGACTGTGGTTCGAGTCCCGGACCCGGTGGCTTAAACTCACGCCTGGCACGTGTGTGTGCATGCCCAAGATCCCGCGAGGAGAATGAAGGAGAAGGGATTGCGGCGTGGCCCTCCCCCCTGGGGGGTGATTTCTCACTTTCTGTCTCTGTCTTTCTGACAAGTACATGTGCCCTATAGCAAAAACTCTCCAAAAAAAAAAAAAAAAGAGAGAGAGAGAGAGACTGACTTCTGAGGACTTACGGCTGTGTGGAAGGGCGTAGCTTTCTTTCTGTGTCTGTAAAGACTCTGCCATTGTGTTGAATGTTGTCAACACTGTGACCTCTTCAGGGACTTCTTAGTTTAACATTGTCTCTATCACTGACAAATGTAGGCTGGATTTTTCCTATGCGGAAATGGCTCCAAAATGGGATTTCAGATCTTTGCGTTTGGGATTAAACAATATAGCCTGTTTTATATTCGAATCAGAGGGCTTCTTGTTCTGAGTAACAGGTTCTAAACAATTCCAGCGAGGACAAGAAGAGCTTATTGTTATCTGTGATAACACTTTGTTTTCTAAAGTCATCCTAAGAACACAATGGATAGTTCTTGCTTTTTATTATTATTATTAATTATTGTTAAAGGTGGATGTTTAACAAAAGATGTTGGAATTGTAAAGAAAAAAAAAAGAAGAAGAAGCTATAGGGTGTGCTGAATTTGGGGTCAGAGAGATGAGGAACAAGGGGGCTTTATTACAACACAGGGAGAAGATTTCATTAGGCCAGAGAGGATGGGGTGCAACTGGGTTTCAGACAACTTATATCAAGGCCTACATATGATGGCAAGGCAGCAACTCTGTTAGTGTTCCAGTTCTCGGTCTGGGGGTTCAGCATACAGTGTAGTGTGTTCACCTTGTGAAAACGCGTCACCAAGCTTACAGTATGATCTAAGTGCTTTACTGCATACGTTACGTATGGACACGTATCAAAAGACAGAGGGCACCGCCCGTATTATGGAGCTGGACTGCAGGGTCCTGCTGGGAGAAAGGGTAACACCTGGGACCGACTACGAGAGAGTGAGCTGGGCTTGAAAAGCCACTGGCGCCAACACGCCCCGTCAGTATCGGTTCCAACCCTGGAGCGCTGAGGCAGGAGACCGAGGAGGGACCCAGTCACATCCACCTTCCACAGCAGACGGCTCTCAGCCAGATGAGAGGAAATGCTTTTATCTTTAATAAAGTTGGACTCTGATGATTACACGAGACTGGACGTTTCAATTCCTGACCAGACATGGTCCCTATGATTGAAAGTAACCAACGGGCTATTATTTGAACGTGCGCATGAACCTGAAATTCCTCTCCTGCTCCCCTAAGCTTGCATTTTTATCTAAGACTTAGAAATGACCCACAGTGCAGGTGACGACGATCGTTTTCTGTAGTGAAGGTGGTCTAGTCAAGGTCAGCAGGCAGCAGTGAGACCCCGGCCACCTGTACAGATTCCAGTCCTCCCCACGGTGCCATGGACAGGGACATCATTGCAGGACTGTCCGCACGCAGCTTAGCTTGACCAGGAACATCGACATTTGCTCCTAAGGCCGCATGGAAGTAATAGTATTTTCTGAAATCATAATGTGAGCACAGAGATACCAGTGAGACCATGTACAGATAGAATTCCGCCCAGAGCATATCAGACTGTCAATACAGTGCTTCTAAAGAGAGAGGCACGGGGACCAGCAGTTAGCGTAATGGCTATGTCGCTGGACTCCTACGTAGTTGACCGCGGTTCGCGTCCCGGACCCGGTGGCTTAA